AATAATTTATCCATAGATTACTGGAATTTAAGGATGAAATGAAACGCGTATTTATGACATAATAGTAAAGTCAGATCGGGCTTCATTTGGACTGGTATAAAAAAAATCAAGGCTTCAGTGGGGTGGGCGTGGTAACACATTTGGGGACCCAATAAAATTATAAAATTTCGGCCCCTGCGTCAAATTGGTATCGATGGTGGACGGGTGTTAAGTATGAACCGTAAACTGTCCTCCAATATAATTCACGACCGCCACAAACTATAATGTCAACGATCCCAGAAGTTTCCCTAGCGTTTCTAAAATATTCAGAAAATTTAATACATTTTTTCCTGTCTGTGCGTCCTCAGTCCATCCAATTCGTTCTCTTCTTCTCTCTGATAATTTTATTATTTGTTCTAATTCGTCCGCATGTGTACAAAGGAAAGATTCGTGCGTGTTCCACGTATTCATAATAACGGCATTAGATTCAGCAGAAGCCACTGCCATCTACTGGCCGTGTTAATAACCACACAAAAACGCAACCCACTTCACTTATCGAGTGACATTACTTAACAGCGTTGTCCCTCACGATCCGTCAGGTATGTTGCGTTATGCTGCTACAATGTTTACAAGGAAAAGAGAAAACGAATCATAAATCTCCAAGATAAATTTCAGGTTAGATTTCTTTATTTTAACTCGAAAAATTACATCATTTCTACTTCTTATCATGAGCAACTTAATACTTTAACGTAACTGGTAGCATCTATCTCATGATAAGATTCGTTGTAAAATTATAACAACGTGTAATTATCAATGTTTGTACAGAGACGGAAGTATGTTCAAGTTCGCTTACTTAAAGTCTATGAAAACGCACTTAAAATTCAAAGAACACTTACGTAAACCAACAAACTTTTATACAGCATTTGAGTGATAGAGGGGACAATTCTTTTTTCAAGAATATCTAACACACACAATTACAATAGCCCGGAACTCAACTCGGCAGTGTATAATTCACGGTACGACTGCAAAGCTACTTTTTGAACGAACCTGTTCGTGCAGATAAACACTACTCAACAACGGGGTTACGAAACTTGGTCTGATATTCTCACTAAGTAGTAAAATTGCAAAATTACTGGCACAAAGTAACACCAACCCCGCGGCCGAGAGGTTAGCATTCTTGCTTTAGCCCAGAGGCCAACTATCCTAAGGTTTTCTCATGGTTATTCAAGAATCATCATACAATCATTCACTCTATATAGTGCGAGCTCCTGTCTCAGCGGAGAATTGACTCGACCTTCGAAAAGTAGTACTCACCTGCGCAGGCGCACAACCTAACTGTTTCGTCCCACTGATGTATTTTCAGTCTTTCATAATTTATGCAACATTTGGTATATTAAATATATTTATTTTATACAGTCTATACACAAACGTTTGAAGTTTATTGGTGTTGTAAAAATTATATAATATTAAAACATTTTATTGTGTAAAATATTATATTAGCACAACATATCTTGATAAATATAACGTCTGACTACAATAAACAACTTACCATGAAAATGGAAAGCTACAAACAGAACTACGGATCATTATAATATATTGCATTAAATATCTAATAGTTTTTAAAATATTTTAAATTGATAAAAACCTGAAGACGACGGTATTACCCGTCGAAACATGTCGTTTTAATAAAAAGCGCTAAAAATATAATGTAAAATCGTATTTACGATTAAGAGCGCTAATATAATATTTTACACAATAAAATGTTTTAATATTATATAATTTTTACAACACCAATAAACTTCAAACGTTTGTGTATAGACTGTACAAAATAAATATATTTAATCAAACACAAACATGACGCATATAAGATACAAATTTGGTATATTGTTCGGGTCTCTGGTTATACCCCCAGCATATAAAATGACATACAGACTGCTCCAACAGTGATCACGTTAGTAGAAATGCGTAATTTTTGTTTATAACAGCATTCAGCATGACGTCACGACTTTTCGATCGAATCAATTCCCCGCCCAGACAGACAGTACTCGGAGCGTTAAATTGAAAACGAATACAAACTGTTAATGACATCTGAAGTTACTAATGAAGGACGGCGTGGAGGGGCTTCGTTATCTATAGGCCCATTTGCGCACAAATGTGACGAGAAATGACGTCAACCTCTGCCCGGCATGTTCATTCATATAATCTCGGCGAACACTCGGCCTTGATTCCTCACGTCACAGAGACGTCATTCTGACTGCCGACCCGTATGATTTACCTTTATAACTGTACTACGGGTGTTTTTCCGTCCTAAAATGTGGATACCAATGACGACTTATATTGGCAGCGACCGAAATTCCACATATAAAACGCAGGACAGTTTTTATGTTTGACTAAACACCCATAGAACATATTTCAAGGCGACTTGGGTAAGTTAATATTTTAAATGCTACAAAGGAGATATATCGTTTAGAAATAATTATTTTCTGCAATAGTACAGTTGATACCATGAGTTAGGTATCCTATAATTAAAATACATAACAAAACAATTTATCTTTCTATACAGGTCTAGCGGTTAGAACGCTGGCCTTGTAATCCTGGGGTCTCGGGTTCGATTCCCGGTGGTGCCCAGATTTATAACTTGTGTTGGGCAAGGCCGTGGTCTAGGCAACACGGAGTTTTCCTCCGTGGCATCCCAACAATTACTCCATTCACACACAGAAGAAGGCAATGGCAAACCACTTCTGGATCATCTGCCAAGAACGTATATGAACAGGTCCCAGTCCGAGAAGAGAAAAGGATGGAAGGATCCTGTTCATATGGACCTGTCCTCAGACAGAACACTAAATAAATAAAATAAACAGCAACGGGTTAAATACCAAGTCCAATTTGCTACTTTTAATCAACAAACCCAGCCCAAGAACCAGAATCATGGCGGTTGTTAAGACTACATCACATAATTTTAATTCTGAAGACGCCTGTCTTCTGGGATATGGTGACTGCGAAGTCACATCAGAGCCCTGATGATGGGGACAGAGTTGGTTCCCGAAACGTCGGTTTACTACGGTAACCAGTTAACGCGGCAGATTGCCCGAGAAGATTTTATTGATTGTACTCGACGCGAAACTCTCAAATCCTATATTATCACCGATGTAATATCATTCTTTTAGTCTACCTTGACGATAATAAATGGGTTTGGTTTGTACGTTGCTGCTAACATCATCTGTTGGTACAGACACGTAGTGAAATGCGGATTGAAAATTTCTGTGACATCATTGCACGCTACAGTTAATGCAAGAACGTGACTGCAGTGCATTCATTTGAACTGCAAAAATGGCATGAAGCCTATGCTACGTCGAGCATGGAATTTTTATTGCCTCAGGATCAGTTGTAACATAACCATTCGATATTAGCGCTGCCATTTCTTCCGTGAAGGCTACTTTCTTATCTTCATTACTGCTGAAGTTCATATTGCATTCTTCCAACATCAAACACAGGCTGACAAAATTGGTAATACAAATTAGGACAATCCGTTTTTTATACGAGAAATGTATAACAATTACTTTCCTTGTCAGCTCACTAATATTTCAAGTTTGACAGTGGTAATATCAAGGTCCTTGCCTTAACGAAATCATAACTTGAAGATGGCTGTCTTCTGGG